CGGACACTTATTTTTTAAAAAACAGGACACTGGTGTTCTAAATGACATTCACCTTTCATTGCTGAATACCGACAGTGGTTGGCTGCAGTGGTTGGCTGTTACATCAACCTATCTGTGTAGTTCTAGTCATTGCATGTGAGTTGTGCACAAGTGGTTTTACAGTATTTTAACTGAGATCCTAAGTTCCAACAAATAGCAGCAAGATTCCCAAGTGATCTGCCCATGCCTGTGGAAGCATGTTTGAGAGACGCCAATGTAGAGACATCATCACACACACCCCCATGTATCTTAGCCAGCTCAGGTGGCCATCACGGTGTGCCACGGCCTGGGAATTGAGCAATATTAATTTTGACTTATCACAGTTCCAGAGGCTGGAAGTCCAAGATCAAAGTGCTGGTGGGGTTGGTTCTCTCGAGGCCTCTCCCATTGGCTTGTGGATGCCGTCTCCATGCAGCCCCCTCTCATGGTCCTTCCCCTGTGCCCGCACACCCCTTGGGTCTTCCCTGCTTCTGAGGGATGCCAGTCACATAAGACCAGAACCCAGTCTAACAGCCTCATTTTAATGCAGTCTCCTCTTTAAAGACCAAATAGAGTCACAATCTGACGGTACTGGGGGTTCAGGCCTCAACATATGAGTTTTGTGGGGGCATGATTCAGCCTGTGACACACTTTTTTTTTTAAAGACTGTTCTTTTTTTTTTTTAAAAAAAAGATTTTATTTATTTATTCATGAGAGACAGAGAGAGAGAGAGAGAGGCACAGGGCACAGGCAGAGGGAGAAGCAGGCTCCATGCAGGGAGCCCGATGCAGGACTAGATCCCGGGCCCTCAGGATCAGGCCCTGGGCTGAAGGCGGTGCTAAACCTCTGAGCTACCCAGACTGCCCTGTGACACATTTTGAAGAAGAAACGGAAGCTCAGAGGAATCCCTGACAGTCCACAATCACACTGTAGGCTAAGAGCCCTTCCGAGAGGCAGCATGATAGTATCAAGAGACTGAGCAAACTAAGTCTGAGGTTTGTATACATGCAGCTTTCAGATTGGCTGCTCCTCCTCCCGGGAGCTTGGAAAAATGTCTTAACCTCCCTGGACCTTAGTTTCCTTCTCTGTGAAATGGGGACATGTCCCTCACCAGGTCATGAGGACGGCTTGAGATCTGGATGGCAAGTGCAGATTGCCACCTGACCCCCCACTCTGCCTGCTGTTAGAATCTGCTCTTTATTGCTAGCCAGAATGCTCCATGATTTTCCCCAGGTGATTTGCAGCATAATAGCTAGAAACCAAGGTTTTAAAATGGGCACAGTGGAATTCTAGGCGTCAGCTGGCAGATGCGCAGCATTTTTCCTGGAAGCCAAGCCTTGGCAGGCACTAAAAGGAAAACCCACTGCTATACCCCTCCACTCCAGGTACCTGGGGGTTCTCACTTGTGAATAATAGGCTGCACATAATTTGATTTCATTTCACATTAAACTGCCTAGCCTGCAACCAGGGATGCGAGGTGGAATCCTACAAATCAATTCCACTGCGCAAATTAGCCAGCACCTGCTAACCTGGGGGTGCTTAGGAATGAGACCCAGCTATGGAGCACTGAGGCAGTGATTGCTATTTGCCTTTTGGGGCTGGACTGGGTGTGAATGCAAAATTGTTTTCAGTGTTTCATTTGTTTAGATTTATGGAGATATCTTCTTTTAAGATCGACCCTATGCAGAGCACTTTGGCAAGGTCAGAGAGGAAGATGGAGAGAATGCCACTCCTTTCCCGTGCTCGGAGGGGCTTAGAGCAAGAGTCGATCTAGCATTTTGGCTTAATAAACTGAGGTTCAAGTTGGAGAGGGTAGGGGAAAGTCAGAACATTGCTCTTCTGGGACTAAAGGACTCCCTTTCCAACTAACTAACTAACTAACTAACTAACAACTAACTAACTTCCTTCCTCCCTCCCTCCCTCCCTCCCTCCTTCCCTCTCTTTCTTTCCTTTCTTTTCTTTCTTTCTTTGATTTTATTTATTTACCCTGAGAGACACACAGAGAGAGGCAGAGACATAGGCAGAGGGAGAAGCAGGCTCCATGCAGGGAGCCCATTGTGGAATTTGATCCCAGGATCCTGGGATCATGACCTGAGCCAAAGGCAGACCCTCAACTGCTGAGCCACCCCGGTGCCCCAAGACACCTTTCTTTTATCCATTCTTTATCTGTCCTTTTTTATTTTTATTTTTTGGAGGAGCTGCTTGAAATCCTGCATCTATGGCATGGCTAGTGGGCTTCCCATCCAGGTCTGGGTGCAGGATAGCAGGTCAGAGAAGATTCTTTTAATATAGGCCTAGTCCTGATGTTGGTTGTCAGCTGGCCTCCCCAGGTCTAGGGCAAGATTCGTAAGTGTGGTCAAGTTGTCCAGTTTGCGAATTTCCCAGCCCTTCTATTCCCCTCTGGTTCTCGACTGTGTTGTCATCTTCTCTTGCTTCCTCAAATTCAGGATCCAAAGAGAACAGTAGTCATACCCTGCATCACCCTGGGCAAAATGTAGGCAGTCTCCCCCTCCAGCTCCCGTCCACCCACTGCCCCTCTGTGAGCCCCATGTCTAAGCTGTCCCACAGCCCCTCCCTGTGTGCCATCACCCCCCATGCATCCAGCACTCTGCAGGCCTCTTGTCATGAGATCTCCTCCTACACAGGATTTGCTAAATTCATTCATGTGAGGGCGTGAATCATCAGTAACAGTGGCTCCTTTCTGGAGCCTTTGTGTTTTAATAAGAGGCCAATGCCTTAATAAAATTGTTTTAATAAAAGGAAGACAGAAATATGAGATGGAGTGATCCCCAGTTTCGGCCACAGAGCCTTTGCTTGCCCACCGAGCACAACGCACCCCCTTCACATGGATTGAAGACTGAAGGCCATGGGCCTGTCAGCATCCCTGGTGGGGTGGGCAGCTGCAAGCCAGGATTCCTGCTGCCTGAGACAGGAGCCCGTCCACTGTAAAGTGGGGATGTCAGCAGGATTGAACTGTGAATCAAAAACTGGAACAAATCGCTTTAATCAACTAAGACCCAAACCTAATTCAAATAGTATTTTTTCACTGGACCGTGAACCAGCTTCATGGGTCCCCCTCCCCCTGGTTGACCAGTTGAACCCAGAACTGAACTAAGAAGGGAACATACTCATGGTTTTATAGGTGAGGACACAGGCCCTGAGAGTCGTGGCTGCTCAAGGCCACATGGTACCTCAGTGGCCCAGATTTGACTCTACCCTGGTAACCCCTCACTCTCCCCACTTGACTCAGAACCTCAAGACATAGTACATGTTACCTATAGTGTGCTTTTTTTTTTTTTTTTAAGATTTATTTATTTGAGAAAGAGGGGAGGGGAGATTAGAGGGGTAGAGAATCTCGAACAGACTCCACCCCCAGGGCAGAGCCCAACAGAGGGCTCCATCTCATGACTCTGAGATCGCAACCTGAGCCGAAACCAAGAGTCCGGTGCTTAGCAGACTGTGCCACCCGGGGCGCCCCCTCTTGTGTACTTTTGAATGGAGTTATAATCCAGATGAGAGCCAGGTGCCTAGGTTGGTATTCTCCGTCTTTCCTTTCTCCCTCAGCCCCAGAAAACCACAGAGAGAACCGTAAAATGTACTTGTGACTCGATTTTTATTATGATTACTAGTGTGATCATTGTCATCATATTGCCCAATTAATCTACTTATTTTTAATTTACCTTTCAAAGCTTATGACAACATTCCTCTAAATCAGTGGTTCTTTTTTCAAAAAAAAATATTTAAATTCAGTTTGCCAATATAGAGTCTAAAACTTAGTGCTCATCACATCATGTGCCCTCCTTACTGCCCGTCACCCAGTTACCCCTCCCTCCACCCACCTCCCCTAAGTCAGTGGTCCTTAACTGAGGTCACTTGGCCCCCAGGGGACATTGGCGCTATCTGGAGACATTTTTTGTTGTCATAGCTTGGGAGGGCATGTGCTGCTGGTATCATTAGGGAGAGGCTGTGGGTGCTGCTCACCTGTTGCCTAGGACAGTCACCCCCTCCCCCACAACACAAAATTATCTGCCCAGAGATGTCCATGGTGTCAAGATTGAGAAACCCTGGCTCAAATCAACACAGAACGGGAAGGAAAGTCTCAACGAGTCAAAGTCTCCACTTTGCTGTGTTCCTCACAGCCTCTGCCCAGCCTGTGTCCTTAAACTTCCATGATCCTTGTAATGGTGGCAGGAATACAATTTACATTCTACTCGTTTTCACTTCGTCGAGCACGCTGAGCTTTGTCCCTCTGGCCTCATTTTCACAATTATGTGTTTGGGGGGGTCTAATGGAGTCCTCCGGGTGGGTTGACACCCAGAGGTCAGCTGACCAGTCCACCCCACCCCTCTTCTCAGGGGTGTTGACCAAGGGATGCACCGGGTGGGCTGCGTGGAGGAGGGGGTGGCTTGTGCGGGCCCGGCTGTGGCAGCCCCTGCTCCGCCTGCATCCCAGGCCAACCATCACTGTCTTCATCATCAAAAGGCCTTTATGAGCACCCTGGTGAATATATCCTGGCGCTGCGGGGGGGCGGGGGGGCATCTTCTGCAGAGATCTGCCCACCAGCTCCTGACATCTGGAGCATGTTGGCAGGGCCAGATACGGTATATGTCATCCAACCGTGAAGACATCCAATGACCGGGCTGTAGGCCCCAGGCAGAGGGCGCCACACCAGATTCTTAGGCACTATTCATGACAAGAGTAAGTGTGTCTGCAAATGCGAAGATTGGCCTGATTCCCAAAGGGAGCCGGGGTCTCCAGCTCCCTCCTCCAGCTACAGGCTTCTTGAAGCACATGGGGTTGTAGAACCTATGGGCAGGACGAGAGAAGGAAGGGAGGGAGGCAGTTGGACAGCTCAGGGACTTGGGGTCACGTGTTCAAGCCCACAGCTTGGGAGAACACTCAGCGCCACCAGAGCTGCTCCTCATGAGACCTTCTCACCCCCTCTGGCCTCATGCCGGGTTTCCTTCCTCTTCCCCCTGCAGGTGTTCCATGAGCAGGGCATCCTCTTCGGCTACCGACATCCACAGAGCTCCGCCACTGCCTGTGTCCTCAGCCTTTTCCAAATGACCAATGAGACCCTCAACATCTGGACTCACCTGCTGCCCTTCTGGTACCTTCCAGCCCTCTTGACCGGCCATGCCATTCAGGAGCCCTGGGGACTGGGGCTTCTTTAAAACCCAGGGGGGTTGAGAAGGCTGAGATTCCATGGTGGGATTTTGGGGATTCCCTCATGGTGCATGAGCATGGAACTGGGGGATGTTGGGGCCTGCAGCTGGGGTGAGCTTTAGCATATAGATTCTAGTAGAATTGAAGGAGTTCTTGGTAGTTCCCCGATCTTGCCCTGCTCTGGGACTTGATTTGATCTTATCCCCTTCAGTTTGGAGGCTTTCTGAGTCTCTCAGAAACCATGGTTAAAGTGTCACGAGCTGGAGCAAGTCACCTAACCTCTCTGAGCTTCACATTTTCCCATCTGTAAAGCAGAGTGATTGTCTACACTTTACTCAGGGTTGCCATGAGGATTATGGGGGAAAGCATTGGAAAGGGCATCGGGCATGGAACTGTGGGAGCCCTGGGATCGTTCTAGGGCCACAGTGGCTGGAGGCACTTGGTCAGGCAGCACTTTAATGGAGCAGCTTTGAGCTCAGAGGCCCGCTAAGACCACTGTTGGCCAACATCATTGTGGCCCGGGGAAGGGGAGTGGCTTGCTTACATCGCATGGGAAGTCCTGTCCCCAGTCCAGAAGCCAAGAGAATAGCCAGAGAGAGCCGCACACAGAGAGGGCTCGAGGAAGGCAGTGCTTGATCAGAAGTCAGAAGACAGATCCAGGGCCAAACTGCAGGGGAAGGCTGGTGCCAGAAGCCTCCCCAGAGAAGAGAGAGCAGGCCTGGGGTGCAATAGGGTGATTGTAAGGAAGCTCTCGGCCTGTAGACTGCTCAGGCTGGCCTCAAGACCCTGCTCCAGGAGGTCATTTGTCATCGTGTGATTTTAAATTAAGTAAACCTAAGTAAAAAGTCTACATGCTTACGAAGTGTAACTTGCAGATGGGGCTAGAGTCAGTGTCTTCCCCTGGCCCCCATTCTCCCCGGAGCTGCCGGGTCACCTGCTTCTTGCTGGTCCTCCCAGAGCTCCTCTGGAGACGTGAGCACTTGTGGTGTGCACACCCCCGGCCCCTTGTTCTCGCTTCCTGCTGCTCTTCCCTGGCCCACAAGCCTCTCAGGTGGTGTTCCATTTTATGGATGAGCCACAGGTGATTCCAACGGTTCTAAAGTTTGTGCTGTTGCCAGGAGCGCTGGCCTGACCATGCTTGTTTATGGGTCTTGAGCTCCTGTGCCCAGACCCCTCTGGGGTGACTTCTTAGCTGTCCTGAAGCTGAGCCGCTCCGGCTGAGGCACACTGCTGCATACAACCCCCTGACCCTGCCAGGCCCTGAGAGATCGTCAACACCGAGCAACACTGAGTGAGGAGGGCTAGGGGGAGCCTGGAGTAAGATGCCCTAAGGAAGTGGGGCCAGGGAATCATCTAGAGATGCTAGGTTTTAACAAGAGCAAATAGCTTCAGCTCTGTTTTTGCTGAGACAGGAGGAAAAAGATCGTAAGTGTAGCCAGAAGATGGAGGGATGCTCCTTGGGTTCCTGTGGGAAAAGCTTTGCAGTCTCCTTCCTCGGGAAAGCCCGTGGACGGAGGGGCTGGTTTTCTAGGAGCAGTTGGTTTGTGGGAGTGAGCAGCTCTGCAGCCAGGCCCACCTTGCCTGGGTCATGGGTGAGGCAGATGCGGTGCAGAATGGTCTTGTGGCTCTGCGTGGGGGTGGACCCAGAGATCAAGACTCGGTGGAGATGCAGCCTGGGACCAGGCCAATCAGAAAGGCGATTGCAGCGTCAGGGGAGGAATAGCGTGGAGAGGAGAGAGAAAACATCCTGTTGTCTTCTAGACTCTCAGGCACCCACCCTCAGGCACCCCGGCCCCGGAAGGTTGCATCTGTTTGAGGAACCTTCCTGCAAGGGGACATAGACGAACCACAGGGATGGTGACCAAGCCACATATGGATGTTCTGGGGAGTGGTTGAATGCAATGGCGTTATTTGGTGTAAGGTTCAAAGAGGTGGGAGGGGTTATGAAGACTGCCTTAGGTATTCGATGGGCTAGTTTCCTATGGTCCTGTCGAGGAGAGCTGGGACCCATCACACGGAGATATGTCCCCGGGAGACCAGGTATCAGCTCAGTGAAGAACTTTCCACATGCAGAGCTGCCTTGAGAGGTGGTGAGCTCCCCATCCCGGGACTTATGCAAGCTGAGCCTGAAGGATCCCTTAGGCAAGAGGCTGTGAGGGAGATCCTGTCGTTGCAAGGTGGGGGGCGGATGGTACTGGCTAAGTCCAAAGGCTCTCCTCTTCTCCTTCTGCCCATTTCCAACCGAGAAGGGATCCCCGTCACCCTCCCTCGCTCGTAGCATTTCAGCAAAATGAGAACACACGGGGTCAGTCATCCCAGGGGAGTGGAAGGCAGCAGATGGTCCCGTGAGGTGTACAAGAGGAGCCCCCAGCCACGGAGGTCGAGCGGGCCGCGTTGTGTTCCAGGTTCTTCGTGTGGAGGTTTGTGACCGCCTTGTACGTGACAGACATCCAGAACGACAGCTACTCCTGGCCGCTGTTCGTGTACATGGGCACCAGCTGCGTGTACCCCCTTGCGTCCAGCTGTGCACACACCTTCAGCTCCATGTCCAGGAACGCCCGGCACATCTGCTACTTCCTGGACTACGGGGCCGTCAACCTCTTCAGCCTGGGTATGTGGGGCCCTGCGTCTGCCCCCGTCCCCCGGGACGCTTTGATGGGCTTAGAAGTCACTGCCTGTGCCCCATCCAGGCTCCTGATGAGCGTTTTGTGACCAACCTGTCCCCCGGGGTGCTGGCAGATGTTAACAGATTCTGGGGAGCGGTGGGGGGGGTGGCAAAGGCCCTGATCTGTGGGCTGGGCCGGCCCGTGCGGCGTGCAGGCTGCCACCACGACCAGGTGCCAGCCACCAGGGGGACGCCGCCGCCCCTGGATGGGGACCGAGACCCCTGTGATCTGCCTGCGAGATCTCGGAGAACTTAACAATCTGCCGTCATAGGCCGGGGTGAGCCAGCCCTGCACATCAGTGCTGGTTTCTGTCCTGCCGGGCAGAGAAGGGGGCCCCGAACCCCACTTGTCGAGAGGCTGAGTTTGTTTGCTCCAAGTACCATGGAACAGAGGGGTGAGCCCAAAGCAGGCGAGGCTGAGGGTTGACACCTGAGCCTCCTCAGGGTTTTCCCTCCAACTACGGAGTCCCCTCCTTGTGGCCCCGTCTCGTGGGCATCTGTTTGTCCGCAAGTATCCCGGCTCTGGCCTCCTCTGCCTCCCGCTCCTGCTGCGGGTATGAAAGCAGAGGCCCTGTCTCCCCTGGTCCAAGAGTGTGTCCGTGCGGAGTCTGCCTCCCTCATTTCCTCCCCTCCCTCCCTTTGCAGGCCACACACACACACACACACACACACACACACACACAGAGGCGTTACCGTGTCCCCTCCCACTGCTCAGTGCTCTGCTGTCCAGTCCTCACCACTGACTACAGCGTGGCTGTTGGGGCCCAGCCTGCGCGACCCATGCAGCCACAAGGGCTTCTCTTCTGGGCGCTCTCGCCAGCCTCTGATGCAGGGGTCCCTCAGTGCTCCCCAGACCGCCTCCCTTTCTCTGGTCCCTGTCATGTCACTCCCGGTTCACCTCCTGCCCGTCCGGGTTCTCATTCTCTCCTGCTGGCTCCCCTCAGAATCAGCCCTCCAGCCGCTGTTCTTGTGTGGTCCGGCCTTGTGTGTTCTTGGGGTGATCCCACGCCATCCCCTGACACCCCTGGACCAGGCACTCCCAGACCCGTCTCTAGCTTACCTCTAGCCTGAGGTCCATGCTGCATCCAGCCCTGGGACCAAGACAGTCCACATTCCATCCTCCCACCCCCACCGTGCACATCCACTCCGCCTCCTGCAGTGTCTCCCCAGCTAGTGTGCCACCCCTACATGGTCTCTCAAGTCAGAATCTATAAGTAGCCCTCGGGTTCCCCTCCCTCTCATGCCCCTACCGTCCTGTCCACGCATTCGGGTGGCTCTCTTCCCTGTATTCTTCAGATCGCTCCCCTGCATGGGCTTCACTCAGACCCTCCTGCCACTCCCCTGCACCATTACAACAGCCTCCTCTCCACCTCCTGCCCCTCCCACCCACCCCCCACTCCCTGGGGAGGCTTCTCCAGCATCTTCTAACCATGGCTCCCCTACCACATAAGACCCTTCGGGATTCTCAGTTACCCCAGGTGAAATTCAAACTCCTTAGTCTAGAGGCTTCCTCAGTCTTACATCACTTGCCCAGACTCATGGTAAGAGCAGGCATTTGGGAGTCACCACCCGACAGCACCTGATGCACATCACGAGGGGCGGCATAATGCAGTGCTCGTCAGCTGCCGAGACCACCTGAACCTTGGGCAAGTTCCTTAACCTCCCTAAGCCCCAGTCCTCTCATCCACAAAATTGGCATCATAGCCTCCTCATAGGAGGACGTGAAGTTGGAGTGAGTTTTGCACGTGGAGCACGCAGCCCAGTGCCCGGCACTTGGTAAGCCTCAGAGGGTAGCTCTTGACCACGATCGCGTCCTCAACCCTGACATCAGCCCCTGGGATGGGGGCAGTTGTTATCCCTGCACTGCAGGTGGGAATAATGAGGCAGCATGAAGGTAAGCTACCCAGGCCTCGCAGCTTGTAAACGGCAGAGCTGGGGTTCGAACCAAAGCCCCGGGGGTCAGCTGCCGCCCTGAACTGTGTCCTTTCCCATCCCTGGCTCTCCGCCTTTGTCAGCGCTCCTCAGTGTCTGGTACCCTCCCACATGCCCTTACCTGAGAACTTACTTTTTCCCTCCCACGGGTGGGACCCCCAGACCAGGACCCCCTCCACGAAGCTTTGGGCCCCAGGCTTGCCCATCATCCCTTCATTTCTGCTCCTCACTCAGAATGGCTTCCTGAGGACGGGACCCTGGTCCTTCACATTGGGTTTTCTAGCCGGTGGCCTAGTGCCTGGCATGGGGGTGTTCAGGGCTTCCAGCCCAGACCCCCCACCCCTCCGTCTGCAGCCACCCCTCCTTCCTGTTCTCACTTGTACCCAGTGGAAACCCGCGGTTCCCTGCAGGTGGCATCAGCTCCCACTTCCTCCCTCGTTGCCAGCTGTTCCTCCCCCCACCCCACCCCCCGCCCCGGGCCATCCTGTGCATTTTCACTAGGTTTTGGCCGTCTTCATCATTCACTCAAAAACCTTCCATGGCTCCCTATTGCCTCAAAGAGGCTGTTAGCTTTCCCTAGCCTGGAATCCAAAGCTGCCTCTATTCCTGCTCACTGGGAAGCCCTCTACAGGGGTCTGAGCACCAATTACGACGTGTGTGGGTGGGGGACGGTTCCCCACACCACCGAGCAGTTCCCCGGCACCAACTGGGTGCCCTACAGTTCCACTCATTTCTGACACCATCCACCTGGGGATGGCATCACTTCCCACAGGTTAAGGGCTCAGTCCCACAAGACCATGCCCTCCCCAAACACCATGTGGCCTCCAACCCAGAAGCTCTCTGAACCTCTCTTTTTGGGTTTTTATGGAGACTTCATTAGTGGTGATTGATGAAGTCATTGGCTATTGGCAGTTGATGCAGCCTCTGGCCCTCTCCCCTCCCAGAGGTCAGGGGTGTGGGATTGAAAGTTTCAACTCCTGGAGCACCTGAGTGGCTCAGTGGTTGAGCGTCTGCCTTTGGCTCAGATCATGATCCCGGCGTCCTGGGATGGAGTCCTGCATGGGGCTCCCTGCAGGGAGACTCTGTCTCTCTCATGAATAAATAAATAAAATCTTTTAAAAAAAAGAAAGAAAAAAGTCCCAACCCTTTAGCAACCCTCTGTTCTCCTGACAACCAGGCCCCCATCCTTAAGTGCTTCTCAAAAGTCACCTTGTTAACAAAAGACACCTTCCCGGCTCTCAGGCTTAGGAAATTCCAGGGGTTTTAGGAGCTCTGTGCCAGAAACAGTGCAGAAGACCAAGTGTGTATTTCTTACTAGAAGTCATTTCGCTTCCCACTGCAGTTTCGGGCAGTTTCGGGCAGGGTCTGAGGCTCCCTCTGCTCTTGCATGGCCTGCCAAGCGGGGTGTGCACCTTGGCCGCAGCCAGCATACACAGAGAGAACGCATCCTAGTCCAGATTGAGAACCTCCCACTCCTACCAGGCTGAGGAAGAGTTGGTCCCCCAGGAGGGGGTGATTTCCCAGCTGAAATCCCACAGGCAGCCTGCCGACCTTTGGCTCTTTCTGCCTGTGTGACCTTGGGAATGCCACTTGGCTGCACCAGGCTCCATCTGTCAAGTGAGGTCAGAGGCAGAGCTTGAACTTGCAAGGCTGAGGCCTGCCTCAGCCTTGAGTTAGGATTCCAGCTTTCTTTATGTCTTTGGAATAACAGGTGACCGTAGGGCTGACCCCTGAGGCCTTGGGTTGACAGGCCTGTGGCTCCCTCTCCCAGTGGAGACCTGGTAAGGGTAACTGGAGAGGCCTTCTGGTACAGGCCCCTGGACACACCTGGCTGCTTTGAAAAGGACCGGGATCTACCCTATTCTTTCATATAAAAGCTGCAGCAGACGGGTCTCCCAGGGGCCCTTAGGTGGCCCTCCTGTCACAAACTTCCAGACCTGACACAGTGAAACACCAGGGCTAGCCTCTTACACCTGACTCTCAACTGGCCAGTCCCTCGAGCCCCCCAGTAACCATCCACCTCCTGGCCTTGGCAAGGGCCCTCCCTCCCTGCCATGTCCGTCTTTCCCCAAGGGGCACCCCGTGTCAGCGGCAGGTGACCTGTGCACGCTCAGAAAAGCTGAACACCCTGAAGTGTCATCATGGACGAGAGCTTGGGGTTAAAAGGGGGGGGACTGTCTCTGAACTGCCTCAGGCGGAAGCTTGGCTTCGCCGCTTTCTAGCTGTGTGCCCGCCAGGTGGGTTGCTAAACCTCTCTGTGCCTCTTTGTCGTCATCTGTAAAGGAGGAGAAGTGCGGGGGTTTATGTTAGAGGGTGATTCTTAAGATTATGTGAGTGTGTAAAGCTCTGGGAGCAGGGCCAGGCTCAAACTGAATTCTCGGGGTAGGATCAGGGTAGTGGAGAAGAAAGGGCGCGCGTTCTGGGAGAGGCCGTGGCACCAGCAAGGATGCTCTTGGGCCGTGAGGCTGCTGCTGGGGTCCTCCCCAGAGGTCCGGGCTCTGCTGCGTCCTGCCTTCTGGCCCAAAGCTGGTTTTGCCTCCGCAGGCTCAGCCATCGCCTACTCGGCCTATTCGATCCCGGACGTGATGGTGCACACCACCTTCCATGACTACTACGTGACCCTGGCCGTGCTGAACACCATCATCAGCACCGGCCTCTCCTGCTACTCCAGGTACCTGGCCGCTGTGCCTCAGCGGGGTGGGAGAGGACGCTCCATGGAAGGGGTGCTCGGGGGCCTGGAGCTCAGGCCCAGACCCGCTTTATGGGACCAGTCCTGGGCGTTTGAGGAGACTTCACACTTGCCTTACCACTCTGCTGTCACTGTCTTGAAGTTCTTACTGAGTTTGGAACAAGGGGGGTGCCCATGATTTCATTCTGTACTGGGTCCTGCAAATGATGCAGCTGGGCAGGTCGCTTATTCATCCTTCTTGAACCTCAGTTTGCTCATCTGTGACATGGGGCCAACACATCTACCTGCCTTGAGAGAGGGAGGCAAGGGTTGCAGGTAACATGCCTGGAACACCTGGCCCAGAGGCGGTCAACAGGCAACCTGCTAACAGTGACTGCGTGGGCCTGCCTCTTAGACACTCGAGCTCTCACTGGTGGATGATATTCGGGTGGCTGCCGCGTCCCCCGGGGAGCCTCCATGGCTGTGAGTCTCACCCACGTCACCAGCTCTGAGTCACTCTGGTGTCCCCCTTTCACTCAAGAAAGCTCATTGGAGTGTTAACACAAGAGACATTGTTTTGGGGCTAATGACTAGTTGACTCAGCTCTTTGTAAAAACAAACCGCCCACGTTTCTGCTTCCCTAAATGATTTAGGAAACCTCTCAAATGGTGGTATTGGGGTGACACCCCCGTCTGGTTGGTGCTTGGGTGCTGGGTGCTCCCTGGGGCTGGGAGCTCTCGGGGTGGCTTAGGAAAGGGCCCATGGGGAGGCTGGCAGGTTGCACCCAATCCTGTGCCCCCGTCTCCATTCCAGGGAGCCAGTTGGAATCTCCCCACTGAACCCCATTGAACTCAGAGAATTACTATTCCTGGCAGCTGTCCACTGTCCCCTCCCTGGGAAGAAAGGGAGCGGGAGGGGAGCTTCTGTAACTTCTCTGAGGTGACCATGGCTCCACCTTTCCCTAGGGTGACACTTGGGTGCCGTGGGACCGAATATAGGCAAGTTTCACAAACTTGACAAACCGGTTCTCTTTAAAAAATGGAAGGATAGATTATTAAAGAGCATCAAGAATATTTGCCCCAACTCGTCTTCCACATGCCTGTCTTGAGACAGGTTGGAAGCGTGGAGATGCCTTGCGTGGGAGAGAGTCTCCTTTCTAGGCTCAGTGTCAACACTAGGGCTTGTTCATCCCACGAAAACAAGCCTGGGGGTGGGAGTGGAGGGTGAACTCTCTTCCCTCTCCGTGGAAATGCAGAGCCCTCCAAAAGCCCCCCAAAAAACATAGGATCTGCCTGTTGGGATAGAATCAGATGTCACAGGCTTATTCTTGTCTCCACCCTGCTTCCTCAAGGACTCCGTCGATTGGAAACTCTTTCTGGAGCTTCAAGGGCTGCACGGGTGAAGGAGAGGAGGGGGTGGGTCCATGCTCGGGGTGAGACAAGGCGTAACACACACAGAAAAGTAGTCAGGATGCCAGCAACAGCCCAGGAGAGACGAGGCATGCCCCAGAGGCACGGGGCCCAGCTGTGTGGACACACCTAGCTCTGGCCCCTGCATGAGTCATGATCCTGTTGCTTAGCTCCTGCTGGGCTGTGTAGCTGTGCTGTTTGGAATTTAGGATTGGAGAGAGGTGAGCACTGTGGGCTGAGGCGGCATTGAAGGCTCCCTCAGGGTTGAAGAAACGGCCTCGGTTCATGATCCAGGACTGTTTTCCTAGGAACCCTCAATGCAAATCTGCTGCCTTTTCTTTTTCTTTTCTTTTTTTTTTTTTTTTTTTGTTAGAACTTCCTGAGTCACCTATAAGCTACCAGGGTAGACTGTTTTCTTCTAGCCAGAAATCTATCCTTGGTTAATAATCAATAGGTCTTCTGGATGTGGCATGCCTGTTACCTTTGGACAGACTTGCTTGGCAGAGCAGGCTGGTCAGGAATCTCTTGATGCCTACGTTTGGAGGCTACTCCCTTGTCAGTGAAATGGATTATTTCTGTTTACTTCTGGGGCACATCCGTCCTTCTATCCAACCACTCATCCATCTACCTCCTCATTCACCATGTCCCTGCCCACACACCACTCATCCATCCATCCATCCATCCATCCATCCATCTACCATCCCCCCACCCATCTATCCATCTACCTACCCATTCACCCATCTACTCATTCACCCATCCATCCATCCATCCATCCATCCACCATCCCCCTACCCATCTCTCCATCTACCTACCCATTCACCTATCTACCTACCCAACCATTCACCCATCTACTCATCCATCCATCCATCCATCCATCCACCATCCCCCCACCCATCTATCCATCTACCTACCCATTCACCCATCTACCTACCCAACCATTCACCCATCTACTCATCCATCCATCCATCCATCCATCCACCATCCCCCTACCCATCTATCCATCTACCTACCCATTCACCCATCTACCTACCCAACCATTCACCCATCTACTCATCCATCCATCCATCCATCCACCATCCCCTTACCCATCCATCCATCTACCTACCCATTCACCCATCTACCTACCCAACCATTCACCCATCTACTCATTCACCCATCCACCCACCCATCCATCCTCCCACACATCTGCCTACCCATCCATTTAGGTACTCACCCACTCACTCATCCATTCATCCAACCAACCAACTAACCAACCAACCAACCAACCAACCAATCACTCGGCATTCCTTAAATGCCCATAATACTCCAGGCGTCATGTTAAGATCTGGGAATACCAGGGGGAGAGAGGCACAGCCCTTGCCCCAAGAAAGCACCCAGGGCAGTAGTCGAAGCAGCTGGCAGACCTCGTAAAAGCCCAGGTGGAGTCATCGTTTCCTCTCAAGGCCAGAGGATATGGCATTTAGAGTATAGCATTACAGAACGTAACATATACAAATAATGATAATGTAAAATGACACCCACTTGGATACACAGAGTTCTGCAAAGTGGTGCTAGGACTGAGTATTTTAGCTGGGAGGAGGGAAGGGCCTTTTGGACAGAGCAAACAGCCTGGACGGGGTGAGGGAGCTGGAGCAGATGGCCCTGGGAGGCAGCAAGGGGCTTCAGAGCGTGCACCGCGGGAGGAGGAGAGAGGATCTCCAGCAGTGCTCGTGTGTCCTACTGTGGACCTGTCACCACTGGCTCCTGAAGGCCAGGAGTCTCTGTGGGAGGACATTCCATGGGCTCCGCTTCCGAGCTGAGGGGCTTCCAGGTGTGTTAACGGCTGCTGGCGTGGGGGCTGGAGGAACAGGGCCAGAGGTGGCGGAGTAGGGTGTCCCATCCGAGGGCTCTCCAGGTTCCCATCTTGCCTGGTCCTCTTCCCCTTCATGTTTTCATTCCCTTCTTCATCTTCAGTGTCTGAAGAGCGAGAAAGATGGTTCCTGCACAGGGAGGGATTTGGCCTCGATTCACTGCAGGAGAAGCAGGTGGAGGGGAGGGCCAGGCCCCCCGGAGTCCCGGATTTCAGGGGCTTGCTGTGAGGCCTCTGGCTTCAGTATCCACATCTTAGGGCATCCGAGAAGAGATCTCTGGGTTGTCTCTGGTTTGTTCTACGATGCCAGGGCTTCAGAATCTTTCCCATGATTTCTCTCCTTGCCTTCCTTCTCCCCCAAGCCTCCCTCTGCCCCTGCCTCCTGGTCCATCAGTCCATGGCGTGGCTGGGAGTGACAGAGAACCTGCCCAGAGCAAGAAGCAGCCCACAAACCCCATGATCTAAGTGGCATTCATTCCATTACTGTACGTGTCCTTAAGGTGAATTTCTACATAGAGAACCATGGTCTCCCTTGACTGGTTTTTTGGTCCTTATTATTGTAGAATCTAGTTCAAATGAATGTTCCAGAAAACTGCTTTCTCCTTGTGTAGCATTTGAGAAGGGAGATGAGAGAATGCATGACCTTTCTGTGGCTCCCGGAGCAAGGTGGGATGACGGAGACCTGGCCTGCTCCTCTTGCTGGCCACCCAGAACCTACAAAGGGGTCCTTAATCCCTTAGGGACATTAGTCACTCAGAGTTTCCTGTACATCGCAAGTCACGTAGGCTCTTTATTCACCCATGCAAGGCGGCCAACAGTTGTTTTTTGTGTTCGTTTTTTGTTTTGTGGAGGGATTTTTGTATTTTGGTTGTTTTGTTGTTGTTGTTGTTGTTGTTGTTTTGTTGTTCTTTTTTTTGACAAATACTTGCTCAGTGAAATGCCCTGTGGTCAGTGTGGTGAGGGAGAGAAGTGAATTTCCATCCTAGGTGGAAAGCGAGCTGCACCGTGAGAGCCATGCTGTGGCAGAGGTGCTGTGGCAATTCAGAGTGACAGGACGAGGGTTTGGAGGTCAGAGCTGGACACAGCTGGAGGCTCGCAGTGGCTCTGGCACTTCTAGAGGCTGCAGGGCTCAGCCACCTGACGGTGCTACTGAGTAGCGCCAGGGACCAGCATGTGGAAATGCCCACATTCCTGCAGTGTCACCCACACAATAAAACAGCCATAACCACACAGGCACACCACACCCACACCTCTCTGCACACCACACACACTCGCCTCTCTGCAGTAGAATGTTTCCACAGGCTCACTAGTTTCAAGCACTGGTTCCAGAATTTGCTTGCAAATCCTGCTGGCTTTGTTGCAACACGATTTATCAGGTTTTTGAACAGACTGGTACCGCATCGACCCTCTCCTGGTGGAGGCTTCTGCCCAAATCCAGTGTTTCCTGCCAACCTGGTTCTAGGCGGACGAGGCTTGACTCCCTGTAAACTGGTCTCTCCGCTCTGCGGTGCAGGGACTGTCGTACCAGGTGGGGCTTTGGAGACTCGGGGGCATCCGTGCTTTGGAGGATTCCGCGGCTCCCACCCCTCCTTCCCGGACTCTCTGGCTGGGGCGACATCCTGTGGCTACCCGTGGAATTGCACCTCGGTAGGGGGAGGCCCCTCTCTGTGGCTGCTGCTCCTTCTGCCTTTTATTTCTCTGTTGCTGTCTCTCTTCTGTTCTGCTGTTTCTCCTTTTTTTCCCTGTAGACTCGGCTTTGCAGATGGAGAGGCTGGTTCGTTTGCCCCTGGGGAAGCACTTTATCAGGCCGGGCGAAATGTTGTCTCAAGTCACAGGAAATCCATGGTTTGGGGGATGGCCCTCGCCAGCCAGAGCCAGCTTTCTTCCTGTGTAAGTGGTCACAGAAAGAGCGTGTTTTCATGGAGAGCCTCTCCTAACCCAGGAAGGATAGGCGGCGGCAGTGCATGGGGAAGGAGGGAGCGGGCTTGTGGTTGGACTGGGTTGGCCAGGGTAGGCTGTGAAGGTGTTGAGACGGGCTCTGGCTGTGGGGGCAGCGGGAGTGTGTCCCATTTGCTCCCCAGGGCAGAGGGGGTTCGGGCAAGGATGAAGGCTGGGTAGTGGTCCGAGGCCTGCTCAGCCTGCTGAAGGGGTCGGGGTCTGAAACTTGGAAACCGGATGGCCCTGAGTGTAAATCCTAGCTTTGCCTCTTCTCGGCTCATCGGACTTGGGGCAAGTCACCCAGAACCTGTCCGTTCCCTCCTATTCCTGTTTTCCGGCACAGCATAGCTGTAAGGTGGGGAAGGGGACAGAACAAATCCCGCTGCACACATTTTACTAAAAGCTGCCACGTAGCGAGTGTGCCTCTGTGATGTGAGTAAGCTCCTGGCAAGTCTTGTTTCATCAGATCCTTGCACCAGACCCTTGAGGGGTACAGCCATCGTCCTGGTGTCCCACGTGAGGCCTTGGAGGTGCACAGGGGTTATATAACCTGTGGGGGCCACATGTTCACGAAGGGCGGAGGCAGGATTCAGACCCAGGCTGTCCAGGCCAGACACAGCATGGGCATCGTGGCGCGGTGCCGCCTCACCTCTCCCAGGGTTGGTGGTTTACTCCCAGGCCGGGGCAGGGGGGGTCTCATTCAGGGGGATGATACATTGAAGTCCCTTATTTCTCTTCCTCCTTTTCCTTGAGCTTCTCTTCCTTCTCTACCCAGTGCCTGCCATGTGCTTGTCTGACTTAGGACAGGCCAGGAAAGGAGACACATGCGGACATGAGAGAAGTTGAGCTTATCACTGGAGGCTGAGCAGGGCTTCTCAGGGCCCACAGCGGGTGCCTCTTACTCTGGAGCAGGGACCCTCCACTTGGCTGTGCTGAGGGCTGGGCACGACACACCAGGCTAGGGGGTCTTGGGGTGCCCTGACTGCTCAGGGGCCGATGTGGGAACATCTGCCATGTTCCACACCAAAGGGTACATGGAGCAGAGGACTTGGTAGTCAGGTGACTGCCCCGACTGTGGGGACAGGAGTGATGTGGCCAAAGGCAAAGGGCCTGGGCTGTGGAGCCACGGGTGGTGGTTGGTGGAGGAAAGGGTGGGCTGTGGGCTGGGACAGGGAGTCTGGGCCACTGGGTTGGGGTTGGAGCAGTGGTGGGACACAGACCCATCCCCGTGGGAGAGCAAGTTGAGGGGTGGGGGACCATCAGGGCCGAGAGGGCCCAGGTGCCTCCGCTGCCTGCCCCAGAATGGCCCCCCCACCAGCCTTTGCGCCCCGACTCTGCTCGCCACCCTTGTGGGGGCCTCTGGCCTCGCGCTGCAGCCCTGTGGGCACCAAGGGAGGACCTGGCCCTCCCACAGTACCCCCTGGTAGTGGTGCGGGGCCTGCCCTGCCCCCCTGCCTGGACGGCCTCTGGGGTCCTGAGCCTCCACCACTGAACCTGGCTCAGGGACTGTGGAGACTCTCTCTGACCTCTCACGTCCTCCTGGTACCCCGCCTGTGCCATCTGTGCTGCCCACACCCCAGGCTGCCAGGCCTGCCCCGGCTGGAGGCCCCAGCCAGCCGAGGCCCATCGCGCTCCATCCGGGAGGCCCTACTGTCTCTGCCACAGTCGGCACCACTCAGTTTATTTTATTTTATTTATTTTATTTTATTAAATATTTTATTTATTTATGATAGACCTAGAGAGAGAGGCAGAGTCACAGGCAGAGGGAGAGGCAGGCTCCATGCTGGAAGCCCGACGTGGGACTTGATCCTGGGACTCCAGGATCGCACCCTGGGCCGGAGGCAGGCACCAAACCGCTGGGCCACCCAGGGATCCCCGGCACCACTCAGTTTAATGTTGGCTCCGTCTTTGGACCAGAGGCAGGTCAGGGTGTTGAGGAGAAAGAGGGGGAGAAAGGCCACATTTACTAGGTTTCCCCAGGCCGGTGTCCCTTGTGTGTGGTCCCAAGGATTCCAGAAAGCTCTCCAAGTAGTTTAACGCTTACTGGAAGCAAGGGCTTCTGCACAGCAATCACCTGGGCAGCTCCAACTAGTTAGACATCTCGTCCTTCACAGACGTGCTGGGCCCAGGAGCCTAAATGGGGGCTGGGGGGAGGCACCGATGCCCCACATGCCCCACACGCCCCATGCGTCTCCCCATCCTGTTGTTACTGGACTTCGAAAGGCTCTTTATCAGTTTAGAACTTGCTTCTCGAAGGGCTTTTCCAGCCCGGTCCTCCTTGGCTTCGTTGGACACCACTGCTTCTTGTGCTGTGGCCCCAGGAGATGGCCACCCCCGAGACCTTTCCACCTGCTGCTGTCGGGGTGGGAGTGATGCACGGGCCGGTGGACAAGCCGCCGGCCTCAGGAGGAGGTTGCACAAAACACTTGCCTTCCGTTGACCTGCCCTCTGCTCTTCATAACGTCTGCGCACGTATGTAATTTACTGACACTGTCTCCATTCCCACTTCTTCTCCCCTTGCCCTTCCTGATTTAGGTTTCTTGAAATCCAGAAACCCGGGCTCTGTAAGGTGCTTCGCGTCCTCGCCTTTGCTTATCCCTACACGTGGGACTCCCTCCCCATCTTCTACAGGGTAAGGGCCTGGCTCTGGCTTTTCTCTCCTGCTGGCACCACCAGGGAATCTGTTGTGTCCTGAGCTGCTGGGGGTCAGAGCACCGTGGTGGTCACTGCAAGTCACGGAGTCGAGACCCGGGGGCTCCCTTAATAGCACGTGCAGAGTAGTTAGGAGACAGTAGGAACACAGAAGCCCTGACAAACCATAAGAGATGCCTCAATGGCCAGCACCGACTGGGCGCTCAGAAGGAATCCTGGAGGGCTGGGCAGGGGAGAGGCACCAGGAGAGTAGGCTCTGGAGGCAAATCTCTAATACGTACTCAAAGCAGGACTTTGGCCAAGCTAGGTACAATCTCTGTGCCTTGTTTTCCCTTATCTGTACAATGGGCACAGTAATAAAGCCTCCCTCTGTCAGGTTGTGGGGAGGATTACATGAGGGGAACATAGAAAATGCCAGCTGCTGGTAAGTGTCCAGTAAATGCATGTTATGTGTTCTCATTAATTAACATACTAGTAGCAAAGAAAAAAGTATCAATGAAGGTCTTAAGGATAGATGGGGATTAGACAGAGAACACGAAAGAAGAGGGTATAGGAGGGATACAAGAAGGGGGAGTCCAGGCGCTCTCAAATCAGATGGACCTGAGTTTAAATCCCAGTCCCACTGCTCACTGGCTGTGTGACCTTAGACAATGCACATAACCTCTCTGAGCCTCAGTTTCCTCATCTGGAAATGAGGCTGACATCCCCTCCTGCACTGGGGGATGGAGGGGGGGCTCATCAAACCCACAGATCTGAAGTCTCAGCAATGCCTGGCATAGAGCCTGCACCCACTGAGTAGAGTTGCCCTCCCAGCCTGAGGTTTGATGCATGAGGCAGGGATGGAAGAGGAGGGCCAGAGCTGGCTCCACCTGTGTGGGCCTGGGGAGAGTCCCTGGACTCCTTCCTCGAGGACACAGAACACACAGAGGACACCAGAGCAGAGAGCAGAGCCCATCCCACGTGCCACCAGATCGCAGAGCAGAGGTCTGGGTTCTCACAAACGCGGTGTGCTCCTGGCACTCGCTGCAGCGGACGGTGGGCGGTGGGGAGGGGCGGTCTGATCCTGAAGGGCCATGCTGATGAGCACCCAGGTTCTGGAATCAGCCTGCCTGGACCCAGATCCTAACTTCGCTGCTCATTAGTGGTTTGCACATCACCCTCTGGCCCGGCTTCCTCATCTGCAAAACGGAGAACTAGAGTCTGCCCCAGGTAATTGTTGAGGCTCTGATGAAATCACGCAAGGGTAGGGGCTGGCCCAGTGCCCTAGGTAAGTGGCACCAGCTGTTGCTATTCATAACAACAATACAAAAACTATACTTAACTCACAAACAGCATAATGGCCGTAATTAATACATTTTGATGACTCAGAAGGCCTTCCAGGGATTTCTAGGCCTTAAAGCCCTAATTAGGAACCTGAGACTCAGTGATGCTCTGGTCAGCAGTGACTTCAAGGGTGAATAGACCACTTCTATTTTACCCCTAGACAATAGAGTACCAATAGATCTAATAGGGTTTTTCTTTTCCTTCCTTTGTTTTGGTAACTAAATAACCCAAAAGGCTTTATGAGCATTTGGAAGATTAAAATATAGTTGCCTTGGGTCTCAAATGATCGCAGTCAGAATGGGAATTCTGCTCACACCGTCCCCGAAAGCTCCCTTTCTAAGCCACAAACCCAAGGAGGTGAGGGCCTTGGCCTGTGGTATCCATACACGTGCTCAGAGATGTCTCCTGGTGATAGGAGGGGACAGGGCCTCCCCTCAAGACCCAATGTTTCTCTAAATGCCTGCAGCTGTTCCTGGTCCCCGGGGAGAGCGCACAGAACGAAGCTGTCTTGTACCACCAGAAGCACACGGCCATGACCCTCCTGGCCTCTTTCCTCTACTCTGCGCACCTGCCAGAGCGCCTGGCCCCTGGACGCTTTGACTACATCGGTGAGTGCGTGGTGGCCCTGTACCCTGTCGTCCTCCAACCCAGAGAGGCCCACCCCCGACCCCGTCCCTGACACCAGTGTGTGCGGTGTGAAGGGGATGCAGGGGCAAGGAGAGGAACTCTTCCACAGGAGCCTGTTGGGGCGCAGTGCAAGTGGAGGCAGGATGTCTGTAGCCAGCAAATGGCACTGGAGGATGGGGGGGAGGATGGAGAGCAGGTGCATCTAGGATTCTAAGCATTCCTGTGGGTTACAGGGACTGGGGACCCCATTGTTAGCCAGAACATGAAATGCCATTATTAAATGGACACTGAGGGCAGCCCTGGAGGGAACGGGACAAAGTACAATTGGCTCTGAGGCCACCAGATGGCAGGGCCATGCTAAGGAGGGGGGAGAGTGTCTTGCCTTGTTCAGGTGGGTGCAATGGGGCCAGAGTCTTAGGAGAGCGATGGTTCTCAGGTGTGGCCCCGAGACTGCCAGTTTCAGCATCATCTGGGAACATGCAGATTCTCAGGCCCCGCCCCAGACATCCCAAAGCAGAAGCCTGGGGCATGGGGCGCAGCCTTACCCAGGCTGTGTGAGGCTCCAGGGGAAGCTGAGCCCCACTGCAGGTAAAGAAGTGATGTGGCGGGGAGGGGCCATGAGAACCCAGGGACTTCCACCTGCTGGGAGAGATCCACTCCCACCCCCACTAGGGAAGTGGGGTGGGCACTGGCTGGAGGAGGTAGCCCTGGGCCACTTTGGGTGAGCCTGATGGGTCCTGGGGATGAGTGGGCCCTAGATAAGCTATCCTGGGCATCCAGGGGTCAGTCCTTGTGCCTGTGTGGTGGGCAGGGACCTTGGTTCTCCCCAAGGCCATTTGGCCCAGTGATTTTCCATCTCCTCCCACCTAAGAGGTGGCCAGACTTGCTTTCTTGGCTCTGTCCAAGTGCATCTCCTTCACTTACTCTCTCTTACCGGAAGGGATTATAAAGACCAACATGCTTATAGGGCAGTTTCCAAAACAGGGAGGGAGACAGGGCAGAGGAACTGGAAGCTGCCTACAGGAACCGCACCCACCTCCCTGGCCCCGCCCGGATGAGGTAGAGGTGATTGTAGACAAAGGCTGGGGCTGCGGGAAAGGTAGCTTGTGCCTTGTTTTGCCAACTCCCTGGTCTTTCTCTCTCCCTCCCTCCCTTCCTTCCTAATCTTTTAAAAAAGATTTTATTTATTTATTCATGAGAGACAGAGAGAGAGAGAGGCAGAGACACAGGCAGAGGGAGAAGCAGGCTCCATACAGGGAGCCTGAGGTGGGACTCGATCCTGAGATTCCAGGATCGTGCCCTAGGCGGAAGGCAGGCGCTCAACCGAGTGAGCCACCCAGGTATCCCTCTTTCTTTTTTTAAAGGTTTTATTTATTTATTTGACAGAGTGAGAGAGAGTACAAGAGGGGGTAGGAGCAGAGGGAGAAGTGGGCTCCCTGCTGAGCAGGGTGTCTGATGCCAATGCCAGGCTCAGTCCCAGGACCCAGGGATCATGACCTGAGCCGAAGGCAGAGGCTTACGAGACTGAGCCACCCGGTTTCTTAATAGTGCTCCCCCCTGGTTTCTTAATAGTGTCTCATTCATTCACCTTTAGTCCCATCCTCTTGGGCCTGGGGGTCCCAGAGTAGAAAGACACCTATATGGGGGAATGTTCGCCAGACGTTGTTAATGACAGATCATCAACAAGGGGTTAGGAAACTTCTCCGCCCTACAGTAATGGAGTCTGCCAGACATGGGCCTACCTCTCCCCACGCCTCCAGCCCACATGCTGACTGGTGAGCGTTGGCCCACAGGAAGCTCCTCCACATTCCTATCGGGCCACAGTGCTGAAATCACTCTTCTTGCTGTAGCCACACTGCAGATACATCTCATGCTCCTGGCACTTTCTGTCTTTATCTCCTGCCCTAATGGAGACAGGTTTGAGCCTTGGGGAGCTCGGCTAGTCACCTCTCTCTGCTTGGATATGTGCCCTTGGAGAGCAGGGCTCTCTGCTGGACAAGAAGCCACTTGGCTGCATCACAAGTGGATGTGGCAATCCTACACAGGCCCCGAGTCTGGCCTGAGTGAGGCAGGGGCGGCATGTCCAGGCACACCTTCTTCCCTGGGGATGCAGCCTGGGGTGCAGGCAGCTCCCTGCTGTAGGGAGCTCACTGGCCACCCACCCAAGAGGACTCTCTCTCTCACACTCCCATTCCCGACTCTGTTTCTGCTCAGGAGTGCAGGTGGCCAGACTGGTCCCTTCCCGGGACACTTTTGAACACTTACTCTGGGATAAGTCCTGGGGGTACGATGCTTACTTCTCTCTCTCTCTCTCTCTCTCTCTTACTGCAAGAATCCTCTTTAACTCTTGTGTTGTATTCCTTGCTGGAACTGTCATAACAAAGACTCATAGACTGGAAGGGGGCCGGGGGTTGTTGCTTAAACAAGAAATGTATTTTCTTATTATTTTGGCAGCCGGTAGGTGCAGGTGGCGTTGGGCTCTCCTGAGGCCTCTCTCCCTGGCTTGCAGACGGCCGTCTTCTCTGTCTCTCCTCATAGGGTCTTTCCTCTGTGGATGTGCCTGCCCAGGCTCTAACCTCCTCTTCTTACAAGGGCACCAGTCATAGCGGGTCTAATCTAGTGACCAACTTTTAACTTAATTGTCTTTTTAAAAGATCCTATCTCCAAATATGGTCACATTCTGAAGTACAGTGGGGACGGGGTGTGGGGGATGTTGGGACTTCAACTTTGGGAACCAAGGAGAGGGAGAACAATTCAGCCCTTACACATGTTCATCTTCTGGTTTCTGAGGGTTGTTCCGCAAATAGTCCTTGGCCCTGAGCAATGGACTCCTTTTCTCACCACTACCAACTCAGCACACCCCTGCCTGCCCACTCCCACCCCCTCTGCTGGCTCCTCCCCTCTGTGTACGAAAGGCTGCCCAACCAGAGTCCTGCAGGTCATGGGGAGGAAGAGCTCCTGGTCACGTCTGGGATTAACCAGCAGGAGGGAGAGGACTGCCTCCTAAGTGGCCATCAGAAGGTCTGGCTGGCGTCTCCCTTGGCATTGAAGTCAGGATGGGAGCTGATGAGTCCCGGCTCTGAAGAGGTGAACTGTGGCAGGACGTGATGCCAGACCTCTTCACCTGAAAAATGGGACTGACAGAGAAGTTGTCTGAAACATGGACTTGGCTATCTCGGCTGGCCTTTTAAGTTTTCTCACACTGCATTTTAATTTATTGAGGCCTACTTTACATACCAAATAATTCCCTAATTTCAAGTATTCAAGTCAGTGATATTTTTAGTAAACTGAGCAAGTTGGACAACCATCACCATAAATGAGTTCTAGAACATTATCATCACTCAGAAAGACCTCTCATGCCCAAGTACTGTTAATCCCGATTCCTACCCCCTGTGTGTAGCAACCTCTAATCTACCTTGTGTCTGAGAATTCGTCTTTTCTGGATACTTGATATAGATGGAATCTGACATCAGTCTGACAAGTGGTCTCTTGTGCTTGGCTTCTTGCATTCAGCATGATGTGTGTAGCCTACATGCCATAGTAGAGTATCAACAGTCCATGTCTATATTGCTGACCTTGGTGGCCTTTTCTGTGTTTGCCTAGGTCACAGTCACCAGCTATTCCATGTGTGTGTGATCCTGGCCACTTACATGCAGATGGAAGCCATACTTCTGGACAAGACTCTGAGGAAGGATTGGCTCCTGGTCAACTCCCGGCCCCTGTCTTTCCCTCAGATAGCTGGAGCCATACTTCTGTGCCTCATCTTCAGCCTCATCAACATAATTTATTTCTCAGCTGCTGTGTATCGGATTCCCGAGCCAGAATTACATAAAAAAGAAACATGATTCAGACCATAAGCTTTTCATGCCAGATGTCAACATTAAGCTACAACATCCCAACCACTATAAGCCAGTGGCATGGTACCAGTTTGCCAAGGTCTAAAATATTCACAATGGTGTGTGTCTTGGAATTTTTGAGTAGGTTCATGTCAATAAGGTATTTGGGGAAATTTCTCTGGATGTGCATTGATTCTGTATTATGATTTTAAAAGGGGAAGATGGGCTCAATTAAGTCCTTTTTGGGCAAATCCTTCACACTTCATTAAGTTTTAAATTTATTTAAAATGGGTTTTGCAGTTCTCTTTAATCAGTTGGATTAAGCCTACCACCCTTGTAGCTTTGCTATTAAACAGCTGAATGAAGCTTTACTACCCTTATAGTATTACCCTTTGAAAATGGAACTTTCTTCATTTGATGAGTTCCACACAGCACAACCTCTGCCCAAGAGGTCCACAGTGGAAGGGGAATAAGCCAGAAAGATCAGCATAGAGAACATGAATAGGAGGAAGTTGGGTCTATGGGAACCCTAGAGACTGGGGAGGCACCCAGAATGAAGAGACCTGATTCGGGGAGGAGTCTTCTTCCTTTCTCCACCTAGTGAAGGGAATGAAAGTGAGGTGAAAGTTAAAGTCCTCTTTCCCACAAATCCATTCTGCCTCAAAGTGCCAATTCCCCTGTCATATGGATTTGGATCTTCTTAAAAGTCCACATGGCTGGGTGTCCGTGTTCTGTTTTGTTCTGTTTTCTTGTTGCTAGTTTGATGCTGCACAGTATTGTGTAGTGCAGGTTTTCAAATATGTTATGTGTGGGAACTGGCTGAGTTAATCCCAGTCAGCCATGTTTATCTGTCACCTTCTAAATCAGTGACATGTCACCTTCTAAATCATATTTGGGGCTGTTATACATTTGATGTTGCTTCAGCATTTCAAATATGCTGCAAATTTTAGTGTTCATGTGCAGAGCGTGCTAAAAGCCTTCCTAACGGGTTGGTCAACTGTAGTGATTCTCAAGCTTTACTGTGAATCAGAAGAACTTGGTGGGTTTGTGACAAAAGCAGATTTCCAGGCCAAATCTGGATTCTGCATTCGTAGTTTAAAATGTAGGTCTTTAGAGATTTGCCCTAAATCTGAGCAAGTCTCCAGGTTATTCTAATGCAGAAGGGCCCCAGACCAAACTTGAAGAGATGCTTTGTGATGAATTCCATGAGACACTGGGCCTATGGGCTTTGCTGTGATTGACCTAATTTTCCACACCTTACCAACCTAAGGATGTATCCCCTGCTTTCTACTCTGCACAAAACTGAACGTTTTCTCATCTGTTGCATTGGGAGTTAAAGTTTAGTGTTTCGTGGTGTTTTCTTCGGAGAGTCCAGAAATGCTGATGCAAAACAGTTTTTAACAGAGGCCCATTAACCCCTGATCTGCATTTGCTAATGACTTAAGGGGTTGTCCATCACAAAGCAGGATCTTCTTTGCTGACTCAGGAACACCCCCATATCTTAGAATGCCACCTCTATAGTTAACTGGCCCAGAAACTTGAATGGCCTTGTGAACAGCTCATCGTCCAATCCTCTGAGGATAAGTAAAAATTTATATTGGATGAGAGTGGTCAAGAAATATGATTTCATTAGTTTTATTATCTGTTTATTTCCTCTGGGGAAGGTAGACTGATAAAATTATATGGCCTGGTAAATTTTTGGTACATTAATTGCCAGCTGCATGACAAAATTTAGTTTTTGGCAACAATCTGACGTTGTTAGTGGAATTTTACCCCAGCAGGGTCTGTGGGCTTCCATTTCATCTTGCTATAACTGCAGTTTTATGCTGAAAAGTACAAAGTTTAAATACCCTCTTCCAGTAATGCCAAAAACACAGAGCTTTTACATATCTCTTATTTAGAGAGAGTGCATTAATGTTCTTTGGCTCAGAAATAGTTGAAAGATAATAGGTGATTAACTTGAAGGACCTTTAGATTATTTAATTTTTGGTTATGTGGCTTTTTCATCATACTTAATGATGGAAAAGAAATGGTAACAAAGTAGGACCGGAGTTTCATACTGTTTTTATATGTTTGGCAAATTTAGTCCCATTGTATACTTTTTGGGCAGTGTTACAAGTTAAAATTTGATAACAGTTTCCAGTGTACAGATTGGAAGCTTCTGGATGTTTGACTGAGAATGGGTTCAAATATATTAATCACCATTCAGTATTAAGTGTAATATGGGTATAGTTTTGGTTAAGCCATCCCAGAAAGTCAAAAAGGCTGGCAGTGGGTGAGCTGAAGACCTCACCAGGAAGATGTCTTTTCATGTAGCAGCTCTCAGCGTTTTTTGAGTGTCTCAATACAACCTGGAGATGTGTCATACTCCCATTAGTAGCAACTGCTCACCACGGCACTGCCTCAGAAGGGATTGTGGGGGGCGGGGAGGCCACAAACTCCCCATGGGATGTCCCTCTTCTTCCTCTCCTTGCTTGAGAAGCACTGCTCCAAGATTTCCCAGACGCCACAGTTGTGGTGACACTTGAATGTTTGGATGAGGCCATGTGGTCCACTTCCTCGTCCTCTGCTCATCTTAGAATTACACTTTCCACTGGTCAGTTTTTAGAGAGAAATGAATTTGTCCCTGTGGATTAGAATGAGAGGTGGGAGGCTTTAGAAACCACCTGAGTACAAAGTGATCTAAATAGCTGATCTGCAGCAGTCTTTCTCAAGAGTGCTTGATGTGGAACCGAGCTTACCTGAGAGGTAAGGTGAGGTGGAGGAGACCCGTGTGGTCACAACTGTTGGCGAGACACTTCATTTGGCTCTATTGTGTCCCAGATGTGTTCATATGGCACTATATGAAACACCTGTTAACCCAGTATGACAGCACTTTATAACATATTAGTTGATAATGCCAGTCTCTGATTTTCTAGCCAACAATCCATCAAGGACGAAAAGCAAAGACCCATTTCCAAACTCAGATGTTCTTCCAATCTAACTAATGTCTGGTTTTCTTAAACTGTGTGGGAGAAAAAAAATAAAATTTATTATAATAAAGGCCTGTTTCCCACTTGATTTGGTCATGTTCCCCCCATCACACTGCAGACATGTTCATTATCATAAGAAATAGATTCCTGTACACGAGTGTGTTGCTAAATCATTCTGTGAATATTTATTTTGTACCCGATATGTATAGAATGAACACCGTTTTAGGAATTGGGGATAAGAGAAGTGAGGAAAACCCACCCTGTCCTCCTGCGTGGAGCCAATGTGCTGATTGTCAGTAGGAAAAGACAGATCAATTCAGATAGTGGTGAGTCCTATAAAGGAAATAGGCCTAGTGGAGAAATGGAAATGGGAAGGACACGGCAGGTGAGATTGGACAGCCACTCTGAGAAGCTGACATTTGAGGAGAGCCTTGATAGGCAAAAAAGGGCCTGCTCGGCGAGCATGTTGCTGGGCAGGTGTTTCAGGTTGAGATGGCATATGTGCAAAGGCCCCATGACCAGTAGGCAGTTGTCCTGTTGGAAGGATGGAAATCAAGCCACTAATTCCTGAAATGTATATAACTCTAGAAAATGTATGGATCACTTGACTTTTGAGAATTCTGGAATTTCTCCCGAGAGTGCTTTCTGGGAGATTGTGCAGTACCTCTGACCTCGTGGTACTTGTATGGGTACATGTAATATATGTATTTCAGACAAAGAGAGAATTGCCACAGCCCTTATCTTCACTCGGGGCAACAGATTTCTAAAATTGGCTTAATTCTTGCCTCCTTTAGAGCATGGAACAAGGAATTTAATCCAGCCTTTCAAAAATGTGTTTGATGATGCAAAATGTACATTGTCAGACCCAAATGGACAGATGCGGCATTCCTTGGGAGGAAAAGGTCCCGGAGTTTTAAATTTTCATCAAAAGTCCCAAGTGATTTTTTTTTTAATTTTTTTTTTTTTTTTTTTAATTTATGATAGTCACACACACAGAGAGAGAGAGAGAGGCAGAGACACAGGCAGAGGGAGAAGCAGGCTCCATGCACCGGGAGCCCGATGTGGGATTCGATCCCGGGTCTCCAGGATCGCGCCCTGGGCCAAAGGCAGGCGCCAAACCGCTGCGCCACCCAGGGATCCCCCAAGTGATTTTTAATGGAGTTTAAGAAACATGAGTCTAGTCCAACCTTTTTTTTTTTTTTTCATATTTGGGAAAATGTTGCCAAATAGTATGAAGTATTCCCAGGGTGTCTGGCTGGAGCACTTTTTATCCTTCCCCCTTTTGATGTTTACATAATTCTCTTCTCCAACAGTGAGAAAGGTGGCTCCCATTATCCACAATGTATTATTCTCTCAATCTTCGAATGTACAGAATGTCATTTCAGAATTACCAACCCATGTCTGCAAAAAGGCTTACTAATTAGAATTCAATAAATGTTTCAAGTTCTTTTTGTCTTGAGCCTTGAGGGCATATGGTCTCAATAGTCTAAATTACTTGGGTTAGTTATGGCCCTTTTATGTGGGTTATTCATTTGAAATATGGTTCAGATCATTTGTTTCTTTTTGTATCAATTTTACAGCCTCTCCACCCCCTCCCAAGCTTGCTGATTTTATTGTTTTTTGAGTATGTAAAACATTAACATCCAGTCATTCATTTTCAAATGGCCTGGGGAGAGTCACATGGCCTGTAGATGTGAGACAGTGCTGCCACTGCCTGTGAGTGAACAGCAGGGCCAGGGACAGAGCTCCCAGAGTGGTGAGTGTTGAGGGTGTTTGAAGTGCCACGGGCATCCTGTCTTCATTTTACCACCTTCCCTCAAATGCTCTGGGCTTTGGCAGCTTTCTGGTCACTCATGGTTATAAGAGTCCCACAGCTGGACTAACATAGCTGAGTGTTCTGAGTTAATTATGGTTTGCATCTCCTGATGTGTCAGCCTCTCCCCTGTGATTTGCATAGGACTCTCCCAGTCCAGTTTGGCAGTTTCTTATAAAGTCAAATTCATACTTACAATAAAGACCGGCAATCCCACCCAAGAGAAATGAAAATCCCTATCTACTTAAAGACCTTTATGCAAAGAATTATAATTGGGGTACCTGGGTGGTTCAGTGGTTGAGCTCTGCCTTTGGCTCAGGTAGTGATCCCAGGGTCCTGGGATCCAGTCCTGCATCTCCCTCTGCCTATGTCTCTGCCTCTCTCTGTGTCTCTCATGAGTAAATAAATAAAATCTTTTAAAAAAAGTATACCATAATTGCCAAAAGGTGGAAACAACTTAAATGTCCATCAGCTAGTGTGGATAAACTGTCATGCATTATACAAAGGATTACCACTCAGCAGTAAGAAGGGACCGTGTTACTGATATGCGCAACACACACTTAAATCTCAAAAGTATCTTGCTTAGCGAAAGAAGAGATCTTCTGGAAAAGTTAAAACTCTAAGGAAGTCAGAAAAGTGGTTGCCACGGGCTGGGGGTAGAGGAAAGTGACCCCAAAGGGGCAGCACAGAGAACGCTTTGGAGTGGTGGGAGGATTATATATCTGATAGTGGCAGTGGTTACAGGCCGCTGTGTTTGTCAAATACTAACACGGTACAACCAAAAAGGGTGGATTTTACTGGACATAAATTATACCTCCACAGCCTGACTTTAATAGAAGCCTCTCAGTTATACTACCTTCCTGTCTCCTACCATTATCCGTGGTCTGGATATCTAATTCTAGGGGAAAGTGCAAGTCTTTTTTTTTTTTTTTTTTTAAGATTTTATTTATTCATGAGAGACACAGAGCGAGAGAGAGAGAGAGGCCGAGACACAGGCAGAGGGAGAAGCTCCATGCAGGGAGCCTGATGTGGGACTCCATCCCGGGACTCCAGGATCAGGCCCTGGGCCAAAGGCAGGCACCAAACTGCTGAGCCACCCAGGGATCCCCGAAAGTGCAAATCTTTTACTGGCTTTGGGGAACCCTTTGGGGGAAGAGATAATGTGTTAGGTATGAAATGCCTGTTTCTTTTCTTTTTCCCTTTTTTATTTTATTTTTTATTATTATTTTTTAATTTAATTTTATCTTTTAAGAGAATATGCCAGAGGGGCACCTAGCTGGCTCAGTCAGTCTTTGCCTCAGGTCATGATCCTGGGTCTTGAGATGGAGCCCCACATCAGAGTCCTTGCTTGGCAGAAGCCTGCTTCTCCCTCTCCCTCTGCCTGGCGCTCCCCCTGCTTGCACGTGCTCTCTCGCTCTCAAATAAATAAAAATAAAAATAAAATAAAGAGAATAAGCCAGAGAGCTTTAGTATGATTAGAATCGAGGAAGAAAAAACTGGCCAGAAGAGCTGGGGGCTCCATGTAACTGGATCCTCAGCTGGGTTGGATGCATGGATTCCTTCCAAACATTGACAAGAGCCTCTGTTGCTGGGTGCCAGGGTGCAACAGCACCACCTAGTGAGGCTGTGGAGATAAGCTGGTAGCGGGCACAGAAAGGAACAGTGGTGACCAATCTGAACAAAGCAACAGGTGCTGGGAAGGTGCAGGGGACCGGGGTGGATGGGGGGCGAGGAGGGTGGTATAGAGTAGGGGCCCAGCATCCAGTGCCAGGTCACTGACAGATCTGCTGAGAACTGAGAGTAAGGAGGCATTGTCAGAGGAAGGCAGGGAGGAGAGCTTGCCAGCAGAGGGACTGCTCCATGAGCCTGGGGCACGGAGAGGTAATGTGGTTGGAGGGGTGCCGGGGGCCATGACAAGTGATGGGCTTGGAGAGGAAGAGCCTCAGAGCCCTGTGGGGGGTGTCTCTCGCCATGGGGAGCTATTGCAGTGTTAGAAGCAGGGGAGTGACATGACCAGATCTGTGGTTTATGAGTAGGTTCAGAGGGTAGCAGCAGGGAAGCCTGTTGGATTCCTGTTGCAGTCATCCAGACTGCAAGATGGTGAGTAGCCAAGGGGATGGAGAGAAATGGATTGAGAGGTTTGAAGGCTATTTAATAGGTAGAACTTTCAAGATGTGGTGAGTGGACGGTTGGAAAAGAAAGAGAGGCAAAAGTCCAAGATGGTACCTGGGACCCTTGGCTTGGGTGGCTTGGGTAGATGGTGATACCATCCACTGTGGGGTAGCAGGTTCAGGGGAAGCAATTAGGGTGCAGTAGGTATGAGGTGCCTGTGGGACACCCACATGGAGAATCCAGAAGGCAATTGGACATATAGGTCTGGAGCGGACAAGGACAAATTTGAATGGTATGTGAAGTGAGGAGAGTGACTGGGGGTGCCTGAGGAGAGGCCTCAGCTAGTGACCAGGTCAAAACCCTAAGCTGCAACATTTAAGGCACAAAATACAAAACAACACACACACCCCCGCAAAACAAAACAAAACAAAAACAAAAACAAAAAAAAAAACACCTCACAAATGAGTTCTGAGAAAGAGGGGCTTAGGGAGCTTAGGAGGAAAAAAAGATGAAGGCATAGGAAAAGAGGAATCAATATTTTTAGTGCTGTTGAGAGGTCAAGTAAGGTAGGGGTGGGGGGTGATGGTCTTGGTGAGAAGAGTTCCAAAGGAGAGACCAAGGCCGCCTGCAGGGTAAAAGAGGTAAGTAGCCAGCAGCCACACCCAGTTCCTAAATAACACAAATCCCAATCTGCCATTTAACAACAAACTTCTGATGGTTCAAAGGCCTATACATAAAAAAACAAAAACAAAAACAAAAACGAACAAACACACACACACAAAAACCATAAAAGCATCAGGAAAGACCATCCTTGTGTGGAACAATATGGGCCAGGGATATTAAATTATGTCCATTTCACCGGTGTCCAGCAAGGAGATGGGCCTAGAGCCCCGTGAGAACACAGATGTATACACAGATTTGAGAGCGATGGGCCAAAGTGGGGTAGAACCTGTCCATTTTAGGAAAGAGCTGCTGTGGCCATTGCTCTTCAAGGGCAAGGCCCAAACTCCATCCGTTCATCTCTGTATGTGGCCACACAAAAATTCAGCGGGGTCATTGAAAAGATCATCTTGGCTTGACTCGCGAATCGGGGAGCATCCCATCCAGCAAGCAGAGAAGTGCTCCCAGGACCCTAAGTGGAAGGGTCTTTATAGGAGGGAGGG